TTCTTGTGACATGCCGTCGAGAAGGGATGTTTGTAGGGGAGAGTCAAGCGTACGAGCCTGACAGGTTTCAGTACTCAGTACACCGAGGATGGATCTTCAACGGTTCTGATCTCGATAGCCCATGGTGCAAGAGACACGCTCTGGCACCGTTTCGCCCTGGGCAATCCTGTGCTTGTGTTGTAAACTATGGAACTTAGCCTCCCTCCCAAGTTGGCCCAATAAATAGTGTATCCAGAGAGTCGGATTCTGAGGCATGGTCATTTGCCTTTTGTGATCCTACGCCCAGGTTATCACAGCAGCGAGGGCCACATGTCCAAGTTCAGCACGAAGGTGCATTGATGGAACTGATATGCTGCAGAAGGACTTAGCGGAACGCTATGCTGTCGTGCCACCCGCCATGTCCAAGGGCAGGAAGGTTCAAAGATGACAAGTTGTGGTGCTTCTTTTTTTCGGGGCCGCAACCCTCTGTTGGAAGGTGGCCTGGTGGGCTTTCAACCTCATCAATCAGTACACGGACTTGAATTTTGTGCCTGGGGCGACAATGCACAGAGTCTCCTTCTTGCCATGTCGACCATGTCCGTGGTCAGCACTGCCATTTGTGCACCTAGCATGGTCCCGAGATTGAAAAGTTTCAACGGCGAGGCCTCGATAATTACAGCAACAGCCGGTGTGAATGCTTGCTGGGGCCGTTTTGTCCCGTCCCAATCACGTTTCGGGCGGCCTAGCGCCGGTCCCGTGTTGCACGAGTGACACTGCCGTCTACCCTGGCGCTGCCAGTAGCTCAGTAGCTCGCACGTCTGTGTGTACTGTATGCACCTGTGTTATGGTTCTGGTTCAACGAGGCTCTGATCAACAAAGAGGTGCGACAGAAAGCGAGCGCTGTTGAGAAGATTGCCTTGCAGCAATCGTACACATGGGAGGACCGAATTGAATCATGCCGAGTTTTGCTGAAGGGCCAGAGTAGAGTGCAGCGGTCACGTTGTGTGCTTCCCCGTCTTAGTGTCTTATGTGTGCTTTCTGTACATGGGGCAGTGAGTTATGCTTGGGGGGCGGCTCCAGAGGTGATTGTGCTTCCAGCCTGGGCGAAGCGAAAAGAGGGGGGGGGGGAGCTGGCAAGCTACCCCAGAAAGAACAAGTTCCAACGAAAGCAGCAGTTCATAAGAAGCTAAAGTCTAATCATCACGCCAGCCTGTTAAGTATTGTGAGGATGATGCTGCAAAGATGGCTTCATCCAGCCGTGATGGCCCGGCAGCTGCCGCACAGCACCTGACGAAGAAGAGCAACGAGTTCGCGAGCGAGGCCAAGTCTGGCGATCGTAGACTCGGAGAGTATCGTGAGAAGTACACACCGAACAGGTGCGGGCATGCGCAGGCATTCCAAGCTTGGGTGCAGACCTCTCGAAGAAACCTTGCAGATTGTGAGTAGGGTCTTTGCATCATCTCCGCAGACCCTGAGGGACCTCACAGGTATTTACGTGTTACTAAAGCAAACGGAGCTACTCGTACATCCTTCGTCCCCGAAGTCTTGAAGTGCTTGTGCACCAGGTGGTTGCGCAGTGGTGGGACTTTGCTTGGATGCTGATCGCGAAGTCACTGGGCTATTGCATTGCAAGATGCTGTAAAGCCCGCGAATGCAATGTAGAGAACTTGACTCAGTGGCCCTAAACTTTGTCTTTTGGCGAGCTTCACCGCCATTGTCTTTGGGAAGTTGGGGCAAGACTGCCGGAGTTTGAGTTGTAAGCACAGGCATTTTGTGTTGTGGGTTGTACATCCATGCCTGTCCGAACTTCCCAGGTATGGCCGGTACAGTGTCACATTCAACGAGTCGGAGACCGGTGCACTTGGCCAAGTCTATCCTGCCTGGTGGCTGCGGAACCCAGAGGTCGGACGGCATCCTACTGTAGAAAATTGGGGAGGTTATCAAGGCCTATGCAGGTTGTCAGGTTTACCTGGCTCGCACTGATAAGGCGCAGCAAAGCTGTGAGCTGTAATCAAGTCCTGATTGGGTTGGCCTCCGTACCAAAGACATCGAACATCTTCGCTGCGTTGTCAGGTTGGATACACCGCTTTTACGCCAAAGGGGCCCAATGCCGGGCGGAATGTCACCGAATCTCGGCCTCATGACGCCCTCCCAAGCCTTCCTGCCTTGGCTAAACCTAGCTGCCTTGGAGTCTATTGGCGCAGTTGGCTCGCATTGACTGTGCCTGCTCCGACTGGGGTTGCCACCGGCCCTGAGGATGAAATGCTGGCAGAGTTGGACGAAGTGCCGAAGCTCAAGTTGCAGCTCGTGTCCTTGCAACAAGAACTTGAGGCGGAAAAAGCAAAGGCCGGACGCTCGGCGCCAAGCCTCCAAGTTTAGAGCTCACAGACAGCGATCCTCGTGATGGTCGGAGTAGTGCTGTGAGGGTGTTCAATATCGTCGAAGGGAGCAGTTGCTTCCAAGAAGCTAGCCACTTGCTTGATTGAAAGCCCATACTTGCATGAATGGATGTAGATGAACAAATGCCGGATGTCAATCTAGCAGCATCGCCGTTGACAGCTTTTCTGCCTGGGCCCGGACCTTGTGCATGGAAGATATCAGAATGCAAGTAGCCCGGGAGGCACGATCCAGCGAAATCTTCCGTGCATTCCAGTTGGGACCATCTATCGGCGTGGAGATGGCAATGTTTCTGCGTCTGGCCCGCATGAAGTCACGGGCATGTGCCAACATCAGAGCCTGAGCTTCTTTTGCACTTGTGAGTCAGATGCTGCAAAGGGGCTCGAAGAAATCCATCACTTTCATTTCTAGGCGGTTCGAGCTCGGTACTTCACTTCCTCGCAGGATCGTGCTGATGAGCACGGCCTTCGGCCTCTACAGGGCTGGTGTCCGCCATGGAAAGACCCTTGTTGCCAGATTAAGGTCGAAGACGCAGGGCATAGCTCTCAACGCAGTTGAAGCTGAAGCTGAAGGGTGCGACTGACAGCTGTAGAGCTTCAAGACTTCGAAAGTGCTGCAAGATGTTGCAAGCTGTGTAGGCTGACAGTCACCCTGGGTTGACCTGTGCTTGATAGAAGTCGCAGCTCTTAGCGGGTGCAGAAGCTTCTTACGTTCGAAGCTTCGACATTTCCCGAGGTCGCGGGATTTCGATGACGATTGCTACTTTGCCCAGCCATGAGGGCTAAAGGGAATAGCCTGAGCTTTCACGGGGGATCGTGGCACCTGCTCACGTCATCACGAGAAGCTCGTGATTTTATAGTTGGGACATGCCTCTTTTCCTTGCTACCGGGTGGTTTCTTCAAAGACGACACTGCATCTGTGTTGACCGATGTTGCCTGGAAACCTCGTAGCTTCGTACCAGCGCCATGGCTTTGGAGTTCCTCACAGGCTGTCCAAGCCTTCACAACACCAGTCAGAACTTGTTTTGTCATCATGAGTTGATCTTTGGCATGCAGCATGCAAGTGCTGCTTGTGGCAGTGCCGGCTTCGAGTTTGGACTTGCTATTTGGCTGGCTTGCATAGAATACTGTATTTCTATCAATCGTGGTGAGATATGGGTTTCAGGATTGCGGGGCTATGCAGGACTCATGCGCACTCAGGACGCTTGTTGTTTGCAAGATGTGCATTGTATGTGGCAATGTCGGCACGCGGCACATGTGATATGTCTTCATGCGAAGGCTGCAAACTCTGCAAGCTGAACCGAAACACAGCCGGAAGCCGCGGATCCTCCGTTCTATGCTTTGCTTCTAAAAATTTAGGACGGTTCAAATTGACCGTCTAACATGACACTCTCTAAGGGGGACCCTCAGAGAATGCAGAATTTTGAATTCTCTTGCTCGCTCTTTGAGTCGCACGGCTGGAGGGGAAGTTACCAACCCAAAACCCTAAACCCTAATACCCTAAACCGCGGGTGTTTATTCCTGACTCGAGGAGCATGAGGCTCCAAGCTTCGTTCTTGCAAGTTTTGCTTTAGCGATCGCTTTTGCGCATTGCGAGCTGGAACAAGGCAGCAAGGCCACGCCGACATTGTCGGCAGCATTTATGTGTGGACGTTATGATATGAGATCTGGTACATGAGATATGATGGGTTCTGATATGCATATGCATACACAGCTTTCTGAGCTCGCATGATGGCGTCTCTTGCTTCCCCATGGCACTGGCTGGAGGCCGTTTTGCCTGAAACTAGTGCAGGTCTGGCGGCAAGACATTCAAGCCGAAACAGAGCCACGACTACGGGGCTGGGGGGTTCGAAGAAGGCTCAGACGAAGAAGTCTTGCTGCATTGACTTCATCTGGTACTTGCATCTCGGGAAAGCCGGCAACGGGCCGAAATTTACCCGTGCGGCCATTGAAGATGCTAAACAGATGAAGATGTCTGTCGAAGGATGTGTTGATACTCCCTCTCCACGCCTCTTCTACCTGTATTATATTCACGTTACGGACCGCTATCTTGCAAGGCCTCCTGGACCTATTGTAGCGGCTGTCACAGCAGGAGCAGCCACAGGATTGGTTTTGCAACGATCCTTCGCGAATAAGCACAAGCCATGTGCACATTTTCCGGCCCAGCATCTACTGGGCCTGTTGCCTCATGACCTTCCATCCGTGAGAACGATGGGCCAAGCATTGCTAGCCATTGAGCCACGATGGCAAGTGTGAAGGAAGCTCCCTGACCTTGAGTCTTCGTTGTCTTTTGCTGGAGTAGTTACAACTACTCAGGATGGAGAAATGTCCTGCGAGGCATCCATTGCCGTACCTCGGGATTGCAGCGCCAAGCCTGCTATGCCCAGAATCCAAACCTGTAGCTCCGACAAAGCATCAGTGCGGAAGAGCAGGAAACGGCCATCCAGTTGTACACGGCGTGCGGTGGCTGCCTGAATGAAAGTTGATAATCATTGCGCATATCCCTACGGTGCCCTGGTCCTGATTCAGATTTTGCACATTGCCTTGGGCATAGGACAGCTGGACATACACATTCCCATGATTGGCCCCTGGTTCATCGGCAGCTCACAAGTCGGTCTTTGTCAGGCCGTGGAATTTTCGACCCCAACAGGCACGACGTCCATACCCTGCAGGCGGTGGCTTCGAATTGCAAGCTTGCGAAAGGATCGTTGATATATACGAGTACCATCTAGCTGGCTCAACGCAGCCAGTCCTTATATCCCTGTCTATCTGGATGACTCATGCAGGGGTTTGCATCCCGCCCTCTCCCTACCCACAAAAATTTAAGAATAGAGCTGAAGAGAGGAACGGCGAGCGAGCGGCGTTCGTGCATGTTGGAGTCGCATCTTGCATGAGCCCAGCCTTGAAAGCGAGCCTGTTCATAAGGGATACTTGGACTTTGTCTCCAAAGATCCAGAGCTGGGGCCCAAGTTTACATCGTGCACAAGACAAAGCTGCAGCATGCTGCAGCCTAAAACAATAGCATCTTTCTTGCAAGACTATTGGCCGCATGCATCGTTCACGTTCGACTGTGCTGCGGCAACTGCAGACTGCCAGAACAGACTACCACAGAATGGGGAGTCCCTCTTCTGGTCTCGTGTGCAAGAAAACCCCAGGGAAGCACCGCACTAGTGAGGCGCTCCAGATCTCGCGACGGACTCGCAGGCTTTCCCCCACCTGCCGCGGCTTCAAGATGTTATCCTCGGTCCTTCAGCAGCTGCCCACGCAAGAGCAGCAAAGCCCCTCAGACTTCATTTGTTCGACGTTTGTTCATGCATGGGTCCAGCTCATGGCGTTGGTGCCTCAAGAGATTTGGGAACGGTTTTAAGGACTTCAGCATCTCCGGATTTCACTGAAGCCAGGAAGATAGGATTTCTTATTAGGCTGCTTATTCGGACCAGCCTAGCCAAAGGTGGTAACTAGTCCAGCAGATTCCACCAGCTCTTCAGGATCCCAAGAATGGCATTCCTTTGTGCTGTTGCTCCTCCTGCGCCACTACTACGTCTACTACCACTACTGATACTGCTACTGCTACGACTGCTACGACTACGATGACGACGACGAGTACTACTCCGACGACTACGACGACGGTGACAACTACTTCTGCTACTACTACTACTACTGCCACTGCTACTGCTACTGCTACTGCTACTGCTACTGCTACTGCTACTGCTGCTGCTGCTGCTGCTGCTGCTGCTGCTGCTGCTGCTACTCCTACTACTCCTACTTCTACTCCTGCTGCTTCTGTTTCGGCTTCTGCCACTACTACCGCCACTGCCACTACTATTGCTGCGACGCATTCGAAGTCCAAATTGCGATTGTCGGAACTTGAAAACCCGTCAGAGAGTCCCGTTCACAGGAGGTCGACGACACCGGGCGCGAGATGCAGCGAGGTGCACATAGTGAAGAGGGCTTTACCCGCACCTCCACCAAGCGAGTATATAGTATACATGTATACAGTACGAGGACATGCCGATATCGCCCTCTTTCAACATGCCCGCAGTTTGAGAGCTGGTCCACTTTTGTGGGGACCAAGTTCCCCACAGGTGCAGAAATGTGGCAATGCGAAAGCCGAAAGCGTGGATATTCGGTCTGAAGGTTGGTACGGGAAAGGCATGATACAAGCGCAAACGACAGGGAACGCCAGATTTTGCAACCCCAGGAACGTTGAGTCTAGAACCCTAGTGAAATCTTCAGAAGCATAGCTGCACACTGCGAATCTGCGCTCCTAAACGTAATGTCAGCCGGTCTTCTTACAAGTGTTCATGTCAAAAAAATCTTGTCCGGAGCCTATGTTTGGTGCAGAGACATGTTCCTGCGTCCCTTGCAATTCGAGGGACTCCTTAATGTCGGTGGGCTTAGGAAATGACTTTAACTCGAAAAACAAAGGAATACTGGGCACTCGCAGTTCCCGGCGTTTTGCACCAAACCGAGTTATAGATACTGACAAGTTGTGTATACGGACGTACGAATGTACATACATAGGCACACATACGCACATACGAGTTCTTTCTGTCGGCAGTTCTTGCGAGTCTTCCTTACTCTCCGCCCAACATCTCTGTCTATAATATCTGTCCATCGATCTACGAATATGCATATGCAGCTAACAAGCGTTTTTCATGGGCCAGCTACAATGGAAATGCAGTCCTTTCAACGGGATGCTTGTTTTCTAGCTTGCCAGCGCACTACAGTCAGGTCGTACGTGAGGGACAAGCGTGATGATCGCTGTCTTGTGCTCAATGCATGCAGGGGTTTGAGTCTAGAGAGGCTTTTCACCTGCAGCCATCAGCCATGACCAGTGCAGAGCCGGCGTGGAAGCTCTCGTCACCCTTCGTCCCACAGGTGTCAGTCAGCACCTGTGACGGAGGTGATGGGCCAATCGGACGTGCGGTTTCAGATTCTACGTCGTGCAGTGAAGATGACTCCTCGACGAGGCAGCGGCGGCTTTGGGTTCGTGCCATGGACTCTCACTGGAAGCTGTCTCGCAAAGATTTCAAGCTACACCAGGAGCTCAGCAGGACGTTGAAAAGCACGTTGTACCGTGCAAGCTGGCAGGGTGTCGATGTAGTGGTAAAATGTGCTGGCTTACACGATGAGGTTCAGTTCAAGCAGCTTCAGTCCATTCCGAGTCCACAGACTTGCCCCGAAGGCTTGCCAAGCAACGCGGAAGGCAAGGAAATTTCGGACGAACTCTTACACGAGATCGATCTTCTTTCATCATTGCGGCATCCTGACCTTGTGATGTTCCTCGGGGCTTGCATCGATCAGCACTTGCCGATCATGTGCGTCACTGAGTATTTGCCTGGGGGTGACTTGGAGCGCTACTTCATGGCTCAGCGAAAGAGCCATGATGTGGTCGTTTGGCGTCCCGGGCTTCGTCAGGTGCTTGACTGGAGTTCTGCTGTCGGACGTGCCCTAAACTTCCTTCACTGCCGTGATGTCGTCCATAGGGACCTAAAGCCCTTGAACCTGCTGCTGACGAAGCACTTGGAAATCAAGGTGTCCGATTTCGGCATTAGTAGATTGATGGCACGTCGCGAGGGCGAAGGATACTCCATGACAGGTGGCGTTGGGAGCTGGCGCTACATGGCCCCAGAAGTGTTGAGGCACCAAGCTTATGATGAGAAGGTGGACATCTATGCGTACGGCCTCATCATCTATTTCATGAGCTCTGGAAAGGCCCCTTTTCACCAGCTCGGTCTCGACCCAGAGGTGATTTTACTTCAGTATCGGGACGGGAAGGAGCCACGGCCTATTGCAGCAGACTGCCACACGCGCTTGCGCCCGATCATGACGGCTGCATGGCATGTCATTCCTGGCGAGCGCCCTACGGCTCAGGACATCGTCGAGAACTTGGACCTCGTTGCACGCAGTCCCGCATCATGTGGACCATGCGCTCAAATGTAACGCTGCTATTCCTCTTCGCTCATTTCCAAGCAACTTTGCGGACGGAGGTGCAGCAAAATCCGTTGCTCCAACTGATCCGACGAGCTGCTGACAGCAAGAGCCCATCGAGGGCCGATTGTAGAATGCGTAATTCTTTCAAAATTCAACTTTTAACATTTCCGTGGTTTGTGTAGCAGGTTGCCTTTCTAATTAGCAATCACGCACGACCGATTTTCTGATGCGTCCCTGAGTTCTTCAGTGGAGCCAGGGGTTCTAAAGAGTGCACGGCCCAAGTGCGCTTTGAGCCGTCCCCGCGACGAACAGACAGTTGCCCGCTAATTGGGCCATCGCATCTGCGAGCATGGCAACCCAGCCAGCTGTCCGAACGGAGTTGAAACACTTTGTCGTGTGGCCGGAAGACAGCCTATCCGGATTAAGCATGCGAGAATTTTGGCAGCTTCGCAGGGTCTGTTTCCGCGTCAAATTCAAGCGGTTTTGTTCCACTGCTTCCCCAGCACAACAGATTTGAAGAGGCTGGGAGCAGCACTGATATCACTGCGAACGTTCGA